AGTTGTCCAATTAATTTCTTTGTATTTTTAGTAGAGACGGGGTCTCGCTCTTGCTCAGGCTGGTCTCGAGCTCCTGAGCTCAAGCAATCCTCCTGCCTTGGCCTCCCAGAGTGCTAGGATTACAGGTATGAGCCACTGCGCCTGGCCCACATACCATCTTAATGTGAATCCTGTTGAGCAACTGCTGTGGCAGTTTCCACACCTCAGTCTTGCACTGCATGGGGCCCTCTGGGCCTGTGCTGTGCACACACACAGCAGCTATTTGTGCCCACATGTGTCTGGTCTCCTGCACCACCTTGTTGCACTCCATGCGCTCAGGGTCTTTGTGCTCCATCAAAAGTGCTGGGAGTGAGTTTGACCCCACTGCCCTTCATTTTTATCCCTGTCTTGCTTGTCCACCCTGTGAGGTTTCATCATCTCCACTCTGCTTAGAGTTTCATGCTGGGTCTTCCTGGCCAGCTTAAAACACAGGTGTCTGAGCAGGAGAGAGAGGCTGAGGTCACATTTTCAGGTGAATTTAGCCAGTATCACCCTTCAAGGAGTTGCCTAGAAGGCAGGAAATTTTCTTTGGAGACACACTTGGGGGCCATTGGTTCCTCCTGGCTCCCCCGCAACTGCTGCTGGTGCCATGGGTAATGGGGAGGTGAGAGGGCCATGCTGGGGACTGTGCTGGGAGTGGGGGTCCCTATCCCAGGTCAGGTAGGGGACTGGCAGGCTGGTCCTCTCCAGGCTGCTGATTTTCTGTGCTGTTACTCTTACAGTAGGAATTAAAGTGGGAATGGCTGAAACTCCAATGTTTTGGATTAGCAGATCCTGCAGGATGAAGAAGGACTGTAGCTCTTGGTAGGACAGACCGAAGGCAGGGGCTTCACTGTGACGGTGCCCTCCACCTTGGGTTCCATAGCCCAAGGTCAGTTAGGTGGCCATCAGCCTGGCCCATAAATGAGTCCTTGATCTGGTCCTACTCATAACCCACGGATAACATGAGAAGTCTGCCAGGATTCTTGGGGTCAGGAAGTCGCTCGGTGTAAAGCTTTAGTTCCTTCTCGTGCTGAAACTCTACCGATGTTCATCCAAAGGTCCCTCATGGTTTCTTCCAAAGTGCTTCTCTCGCTGGAATTGAGGCTGAGGAATTTTTCCAGTGGGTTTTGCACTCTGCAGACATGTAAAAGGAAATGTGATATCTTCCTGTCAGCATCCATGGCTGCAGCTTCCCAAAGTTCTGCCCATGAAAAGGCAGGGACCTGGTGACCTGGTTACCTGGAGGATGTTCCACACGTTCACTGCAAGGCCATCACACTCTTGGTCTCAGAAGAGTTCCATAAGGGGGACCGCCACAGGAGGTGTCCAGCTTGTTGCCAAAGGTTGTGAAACCAAAGTCTGCAACCTTGATGTTCAGGTCAGTATCCAGAGACAGGCGTTCTGGCTCTAGGTTGCCACGGGCAATATCCTTCTGGCCCTCCCCAGGCTGCTGACTTTCTGCATTGCTACTCTTGCAGGAGGAATGAAAAGTGGAATGGCTGGGAACCGGCTGCTTAGGGTTAGGGAGCCTGTGCTGTGTATTGCAGGTACTGCCTGGCCCTGTCTTGGGCCTCTTCCTCTTTAATGCGGCCATGATCCAGGAGGTAATTGGTCACCTCTCCTCTGCTAGCATACTCCATGGCCATGCAGTGTTTCCTGGGTCTCAGTCACCTCAAATGATTTCATGGTGTTGGGGTGATTCAGGGCCTTCACTAGAGGAACTTTCAGGATTATCTCTAGAGGCTGGAGGAGCTCTGCTGACTCTTGTTAATGATCATGATGGCCACCTCTGTCCCACTCAGGATGTGCTAGGACAACTTCACCTCAGCTCAGCAAAATTTTATTATAGATAGCTCAAATTAAAAAGGGAGGAACAGAGAACAGAGGAATTGTTTAGAATATTTAAAAGGAGTGAGCTGTTAATT